AGAGAGAGAGAGAGAGAGAGGCGCGGTGTTTAACATTTTAATTAATGAAATTAATTACCGCAACATTTCATGCACTCATAAATTTCCCTTATAAAACGAGTTACAACGTAAACGACAAAGTATATTTTAAAAAATCACGCTTTGACGCTTGAAATATTGGACGATTGGACGACAAAAAGTGGAGAAACAAGTAATATCACAAAAAATGCCTGAGTCACCTGATAATCGTTATGTCTTCCATGTTTTCATGCACGTGATGTTGATACATGGTCTTTCGGAAGATTGATTTAGGAACTCATTTATACATGTATAATTATAGCCACTTTCTCTTACAGAGATGGCACATAAGAAGAATTCTAATTATTAGATCGTATAATTTGATTAGCCTGAAATTTCTTTTTCAGAGATAAAAATGTTTATCGATTACACATCGATTACATATTGAAATTGAATAATCAGCTGAATAAAGAACAAAAACGTATATAAATTGCAGACAAAAAAATGTCTCTTGAATTATATTGTAGTGTTTTTTTCTTATTTATTTATATAGATATTTTTTAAAATAAATAAAGAAAGCATTTTATCAATGTCTATATTAGTCGATATTAATGTTAAAGATGAGAGAAAATATTAAATCGCATAATAAATGTGTTAATAAAAATTTCAATAGCTTTTTCTTTTTATTTCTTCTAAATTTTAATACCTATTGCTTTCTTAACAAGCGATTATTAATTTCTTCAGGAAAAAAAAAGATAAATCTTCGTAAAAGTATGTATACCAGAAAAAATATAGACATTTACATTTATAATAATGTATGCAACAACAACATGTATGACTTCTCGAAATATGTTTAATATTATTTTTAACATCAATCGATAGTTAAAGAATATACATATTTAATATTTAGTGACCATGAGAGCCTCATATGTTTTTCGTTGCCATTCGCTTGCAAACTTCTTCGACAGAGGGAACCTTTGCAAGTGAGTAGCTCGTTCTCTCGATATTAATACCATACCTATGTGCTATTTTATTTAAATTTAATCATTATTTTTGGTAGTTGCCAAAAATATGAAAGAATCATTGCATGTTGTACAACAATTTAAATAGATTCCAAAATAACTTTTTGAATCAGTAATGGAAGTGCTTTTCAAAAACACAAAATATAATCTGACTTTCTAAAATTTATTTGCTTAATAATAGATATCTATATTATTATTTATTTTTACTTATTTTTACTTATATTTACATATTCTTACTGATATCGTTATCTTCACACGCAGCGTTTAAAATAAAAAAAAAATTGTATGTTACAGGAATTGTATTGAAAAAGAATGTTTAAATATATTAGTAATGTCTTATACGTCTTCCGATTTGATAATAACTGAGATACAATTACATATCGGGGGAGGAGGGGAGGGAGATAACTGTATTGTTATGCATAGCTTGCTTCCTATAGTATAACATACAATATTCTCGAAGAGCATGCGTCGTCAAGACTCGCATTCATGCGCTTGTAAAAGATGGGGTCCTTTCAGTTACTTTGACATCGTCGTCGCGTAAACCTCAAGAGATGTCAGTCGAGGTCGGTTTAGATTTGTCTAAGTTGTTTGAGTCTAAATACTTCATAATTCTTTTTATAAAAGATTTAATGCTTAAGAATTCCGTAAAATAAATAAAAATGCTAGTGTTCTCTAGTTTTTAGATTATTAAAGTTTACTCGGAGAAATAGAGTGAAAGAAAATTATTTATTAAATTACTTATCATTCTTATATTCGCTAGTTTCACTTTATTTAATACAAGAGTTACTTCATTTATAGTATGTTAACGTGACTTTTTCCTTTCTAACAGTGATGCTTCATAAAAATGTAATGAAAACAGCGTTTTATGAAATGTCACATATAATTGCGGAAAGAAGAAAGAAATTTTCTCTCGTTTTATCTTTGTCTAAAAAAGGCAGATTTGGAGTACGCGTACGGATGGAACCGTTATACAATGATGTTTATGGGCATTTGGCCAGAACATAGAAGTCTCAGTCAAGCTTCGAGTTACAAAGCGATAGTCCCTGTTCTAATGATGTTCTGCTTCATCTGTGTACCGCAATCGGCCAATTTGCCGTTCATTTGTGGCGACTTTGACTTGGTGGTAGAAAACTTGTCGATGGCAAATATAACAATTACAATCAGCGCGTTGAAGGCCATTATATTTTGGTCTAACGGTGGACGTAAATATTCATTATGTCAATTTTCATACGACAGAAATATTAGTCTCAATTTTTTTTTAATCGATATAACGCGCATAATGATTCAACAGTGAAATCGCAAAAGTATGGAGTATTTTTATAAATTTTCTAGCAAGACAAATATAATCAGAGTTTTTTAGCTCACACAAGCAGCCGTAATTTTCTTTTCTTTTTTTTTGCAATAAATATACTAAAATGAATATAATCATTGAAATGTTTATAAAATATACTTGTTCTAATAACTCACAAATACTAATTCGTTTAAACATCATAACTTATTAAATATCATGCTTCATACTTGTAGTTAGAGCGTATTTTATGCATCTCCAGGTCTGAAATAATTTTTACGAATAATAACGAGGTCTGTTCAAAAAGATTCTAAACTTTGTCTTTATAATTTTGGGGGGGTTTACTTACAATTTATTCAGTTTTGTCTTCTTTGAAATATGTTTTTTTCTCGTTGATACACCACTTCCAATGCCATTTCCACTTCTGCAAGCAATCCTGGTACGTATTTTTCGAGATCGCACGCAAGTCCGTCTGCAAATTTTCCTTGATATTTTCAATTGTGTCAAATCTTCAGTTTTTCAACGTGGATTTCAATTTTAGAAAAAAAGGTGCGCGAGGGCCAGGTCGTGAAAGTAAAAAGGCTGATGAAGCACAATATCATCTTTGTTTTGGTGCAGAAATGATGAATCAGCAGCGATGCGTACACGAGCGCGTATCGTGGTGAAGGAACCATGAATTGTCTTTCTACAGTTCGCAGGCCTTTTTCTGACATTTTCTGAATCTGACTCTCGCAAACTTTTTTTTCAAAACGAAATCCAGTGTTGAAAGAATTTAACACTTACACTGAGAAAAAAATGCGTTCTGGATTTTAGTAAATATTAGTTTGCATACAACTGTGACTCCATTTATTAAAATAAAGAAAATTTTCCTTTTTATTAGTATATTTTTTTCTTAGTGAACACACTTATACTAATAAAAAGAAAAATTTTCTTTATATAGTAAATAGAGTCACAGTTGTGTATGCAAACTAATATTTACTAAAATCCAGAACATTTTTTTCTCAGTGTAAAGACGTCAAGAAAAATTCGTAGACAGACTCTTATGCGTGATCCCGAAAGGGGTCGCGTGCCAGGACTGCTTCCAGAAGTCAGAAGTGAAAACGGCGTTAGGAGTGGTGTATCAACCGAGAAAGAACATATTTCGAAGAAAAAGATTGAATAAGTTGTAAGTAAACCTCCAAAAATTATAAAGACAAAATTCGAAATCTTTTTGAACATACTTCGTATAATTGATGCAAATAATAAAATTATTGAAACAGAGAAGTTGTGTCAAGCTTACGCGGAGGAATCAGTTTTACAATATGTAAGATTGGCATAAATCTCTTCAATTAACATTCTGTAAAAGCCCTAAGGACGCTTATATCATACATGACGATGGACTGGAGCGCGACTGTGGATAAACGAGACCGCAAGACGATGTTGGACATAGCGAACGTCACCAGGAAACTGTCGATAAGAAGCACTGTGTTCGCTTACATTGTAGTGATATTCTACGTCGCATTTCGATACGTGGTAATCCGACAAACCGGTCGCCAACTATTCTATCGCGCGTACTTCCCTTACAACATGACCAAGAGTCCTTCTTACGAATTGACCCTTTTCGGCCAATTCGCGGGCACTATGTATGCGGCAACTACTTACACGGCAGTGGACACTTTCATTGCCACCTTAGTGCTCCACGTATGCGGCCAGCTTTCGAATTTGCGTCGCGAGCTGACAAATCTGTGCACCTACACAAAGGCGGATTTCCAGACGAAGCTGGGAAAGATCGTGAGAAAACACGAATATCTCAACAGGTGAGGTCGGCCAAGCGAGAAGCAATACAGAAGGATCATAGTGAGGGATTATTTATCTCGCGATATATATCGAGGGATTAAGCTCGAAATTTTCGGCTATAATTATCTTATTTCTGATATTTTGCTTCAGTAAATACACAATGTGCAAAGCACAATAAGCAAATGTTAAATTATTTTAAGAGATTTTATATAGAAATGCTACGAAAACATAAATCGTTGAAAGCACAAACGTGATTTACAAAAAGATTTTTATAAGGAATGTTTGTTTTAATAGTGACGTTTTTTCATAAGATTTGCAGAAACGATCGAAGACTCTTTCAACATGATGCTTTTGATCCAAATGTTGGGATGCTCGATGCAACTTTGTTTTCAGTGTTTGCAGGCGTTTATGGTGAGCCACGAAAAAATGACAGATATAGACTACGTTTATACAGCTCGATTTACGTTAAAGTTATAACATCGATGTAAATGGCGTAAATCGGACGGTGTAAACGTAGTCTATAGTCTATGTCTCTTTAAAATAAATAAAGAGAAAAGAAGAAGAAGATAAATCGGCCTGTCGTTAATTTCTCGTTGTTTTGTAGTCAATAATGGGTGAAATGGACAAAGTATTCATCTTCAAATTCGTTTTCCTGTCGTGCTATGTGGTTTACGTGTTGCTGCAATTGTACCTGTACTGTTACATCGGTGAAAAACTACTTATCGAGGTAATACGATAAACATTAATAACTTATTGATTAATTTGTTGATGTAAATCCCGATATTTTGATATATCGATACCAAATTGCCAAAACTACGTATAGCTTGGATCATATTTCCAAGAATAAGAT